TGAGGACAAACCTCATAAATTCTTTCAGAAACTTGATAACAGAAAGAAAAGGAAAAGGCACAACCAAATTTTTAGATCTCTCTTAATGTTTGCAAAGCACACTGAGGCCCTAAGTGGACTGATGTTGTGAAAGGGAAATAATAATGATCATTATGGCAGAATTTAGGGGTTATAATCCTAGATTAGGGCAGGCAATGAAAAAGCTGGGCCCTGATGACAATAATGTACAATGAACATGTTTTACCCTTTCTACCTGCACTTTCGATATTCAGGTATACGAATGCTGGATGGAATAGTCACTGATGCCATTGAAGCCAGTTCAATCGGTTTTAATCCAGAACATGTGGATATTTACAGTGCAAGCTGGGGTCCAAATGATGATGGTAAAACTGTAGAGGGTCCTGGCAGACTAGCACAGAAGGCTTTTGAATATGGGATCAACCAGGTAAGATATCTAACAGACAGTTAAGCTGAAATTTTCTCAAGCTTGTAGACCAGATTTTAAAATGGAGAGAAAATGGAATGCTCTTTGTTTCATCCTTGCAGAAGTGCTTTCTTCATCCAAACCCATTTCAAAAACAGAGTCATTCTTTGGATAAATATGAATAGTAAGGCTCAGTGAAATTTACCTTCCAGGCCCTGACTTTCATGAAAGTGCTGTTTCAATATTCTGCTTTTAAGCCATTTCTCTGCAGTCTAGATCTCTTCCTTCATCTTTCCCTTCAGTGCCCTCCCCCACCCTCCTCTGTTGGCTTGTTTTGCTCTGAATAGTAATTGGATTTCTGCACTGAGCTCCTATAAAAAATTAATATGAAGTTTACTGCTTCTTGAATATTTCACTTTGTAAAATTGTGCTGTATTTTAGCACCATGTGGATGGGCTTTGTCTTCCTGTTACTTACACTGAGTTAATTGCATTAGTTCATAAGCTGAGGCATAACATGATCCAGTTAAAATGAAGATAGTAGGAATGCATGTTAGAGAATACTGAAATGGTGGCTTTTAAGTTCTCTTTTATGGTATCCCTTTAGATCTGATTAGAGGATTGAATGAGAGCTGCTGTGTATATGCACAAACACTGTTCCTACATTTAGTCAGGAGAAGGTGAAAAGGTACCACATCATGACGTAGACATAATAAAGAAAAGAGAACTGCAGCACAGAGGTGAATGAAGAAAAAAAGAGAGCCTGAAGCATGAGGGACTGCAGCAAAAGAAAGAGAGGAGTCTGGAGAAAAGAAAAAGCCAAATGCATCAGAAACAGGGAGAGACGTTGAGGGCACTGACAGTGAAGAAAAAACTGACAGATAATTAAAGTGCTGGTAAGGGACAGAAGGAGACTAAAGAGAGCAGGTTGGAGGTAGATGGAGGCTTGGAATGGGAAAGACAAAAATTGCCAGGTGGGTGGCAAGAGAAAGTGTAAGGCAAGGCATGGTGACCCAGTACCACAAAGGTCCCTCTGTACAGTCTGGAAAGTCTGTTTCATGAGTGCAAAACTATTTCCATTTCAATTTCCATGTTGGTTTTATTTTGCATCAAAGTAAATTAATCCATTAGTTCAGGCATCTTGCAGGGGCTGGATATGCTCTCACCTTCCACCAGTTAACTGCAGGTGAATATTCTCATCTAGTTTTATGATTAGCCCCTTACATGTTTATCCAGTACAGCACTCAAGAATATGCTTAACTTTAAGCATGTGGGTAGCCTATGTATAGTGCTCCCAGAGGCAATGGGGTTGTTCAAATTCTCCAGTATTTTGGTGGATTGGGACATTACTTGCTAAAAGATGTGATTCCTTTCATTGTCATCTCTGTGGGAAGCCCCCAGTAATTTTAATGGAAAAAAAATGTAGCTTATTTCTCTATCCCTGTTTTTTTTTATGTTTTTTTTTTTTATTTTGAAAGTGCAGCAATGGTCCCTCTGCCCCTGAGCTGGCAACTTCAAAGATCATCAGCAGGGATTAATTGATGATCTGCATTTCTGATTGCTCTTGGTACTGAATATGCATACATTAGTACTGAATTAAAATACAGGCTTCTGCTTTTCCCATTAAGCAGAACTTTTCACTGAAAGGCTATCAGATTTTATGATATAATGGCAAATATTTGTTCAATCCAGAAGAAATGTGATGGTTTTCATGCTCTTCTGGCACCCCATGACCTGAGCTACCAGCATCTGTATAGCTGCTACTAATTCACTATACACTGGAGACCAGAATAGGAAATGGAGTTGGTTGTACCCTGAGACTAATGTCTGTGGCCTTAGAGATTTGGAAGTGAGGGGAGATTTTGCAATAAAATGAGCTTATTGGTTTGCTGGTTTTCATCAAGTAAATGTCAAACTATGAAAGGTTTAATTAAAAGGGACTTATATGAGAATTTCATATCACACATCATTCATGCTGCTCACCAGTGCTACTGTGATCATAACAAATGCGAATGGAATTAACTCATGATGAAATTTCCATTTATTAAAAAATATTGATTGTTGTCACATGTTCTACATCGAATATGCTCATGTGAAAATATATTCTATTGATACCACTTTTTATTTGAGCTGAAACTTATTTCCAGTAGAGTGATAGATGGCACCATTACCTGGGATATTTATAACTACAAAAGACAAATCACAAGGAGGTGTATTATAGGAAGCACTTCTGTCTGCACTGGAATCTAACACAGGGGTGGCCAACTATGCTATAAGTGGCATGGGCAGATTTTCTATGTGGCATGTGACAGATCAGGGAGGGGACAAGCAATACAACAGCAGATAGGGCAGGAAGCAGAAGGCAGAGCAGGAGATTGGGGAGGGAGCACAGAGCAGGTAGTAAAAAGCAAAGCAGCAGATTAAGTAGTGGAAGGGGATTAGAGTGGTGTTCAGAGAGAGTGCAGGGCTAATTTGTGGCATACCTGCCAAAAAGTCTGGCCCTCACTGACCTAATAGGTCTCTTCTAGTCTAACTTCTATGTGTCCTATGAAAAGTTACCTTTTCCTGGTCATATGGTCTAAGTACAGACATTCAAAAAGCCTGAGGCGGAGTAAATCTGTGTTACACAGTTTTCTGTAAGTGACATGGTTTAGACTGGTAGCAAACAGAACACACGGTCGTCGTTTGCGGGGAGGTGCAAGTCTTAGACTGGGTTCTGCCATTTTTAAACCAATCTATATGTGCCAAACTTCTGTTCTGAGTATAGACAGAAGTTTTGTGTGCCAAACTTCTGTTATGGGTATAAACTTGTTTTTATCCCTTATTCTGGTAAAAGTGTAATGTCTCTACCTGGCCTTACTAGCACGAATAAGATTTTTGGTAGGAACAAGTTGGAGAATGTAGACTGTAACTGTTCCTTTCATTTCTTCTAGGGCCGAAATGGAAAAGGTTCCATTTTTGTATGGGCTTCTGGGAATGGTGGTCGTCAGGGTGATAACTGTGACTGTGATGGCTACACAGATAGTATCTACACTATCTCCATTAGCAGTGCTTCCCAACAAGGCCTTTCTCCTTGGTATGCAGAGAAGTGCTCCTCAACTCTCGCCACAGCATACAGCAGTGGGGATTATACTGACCAGAGAATTGTAGGTTGTTTTTACCAGATTTAACAGACATCTTGAGGAATACACATAGAACGATTTATATATGAAAACTATGAAGCAGAAACAACTTTAAATGTCTGACTTTAAGTGCCTACTTTATTTATGCTTTATATAGCAATAATATTTTCATTCTGGAACCCTGGACAATGAGGATTACAAAGTCATTTGTACTCCTAAAATACTTTACACTAAAGCAGTACATGCATGATATCATTAAATCAGCATTGCTGGTCTCGGAAATGTTTTGTTGTTTTTGTGTGATGGATGTCTCTGCATCTGCCCGTTCTGCAAAAAGGGCAGATCTTCAGAATGATTCTCATCCATCTCTGTGTTGGGACAGTTCCCGAACAGGGATGTGAGCTGATACAAATCATAAAAATACAAAACAAATTGGTTTTATATGATAGAACAAAAGGACATCTAGAGGAATTGTAAATTCTTGCTGACCTCAGCTGGAATAGCAAATGTTCTTTAGAATGTAAGCATTTGACAGCAGAGGTATGATCCATTAGTATTAGAACTAAATCCAAACTGACTTAGAAATCCTATAATTGGGGGAAGTTCGAGTTCAAATCTGCTAACAGATCTTACATTTCTCAATCCCATTTCTAATTGGAACCTTGAACTTTTTAATACAAAAATAAATACTTAAAAAATGATCTGGTACTAAGAGGATCATGTAGTTTTAGGAATGAAAATGGCTTTATGTTCATATTCTTTGAGACTAGAGTTAGGCATTTGAAGGTAGCCCTAGATTTTACTTTTTCACACTATCTCCTAAGGTAGAATTTCCAGATGCCTTAAGAATTTAATCTCTACTGCTTATCATTAACATTCAGTTAGCCTAAGTGCTCATCATTATCACTAAAACCAGCTGAAATTTTTTGGAAGCAGATTTTTCTCCTCAAAAATACAGGTTAGTGAAAGCCAAAATTTCCAGTAACATCATCCAAAACATCAATCCCAGTGACAAAATTTGGGGGTTTTTTTGACAAAAAAATCAACATAAAATGGAAATTCACATTTAATTTGCACTTTAAAATGTCATTCATGTAATTTCTTTGGTTGGTAGGGACATTCAAGTGAGATTTATTTTCTTATAATAGAAAAGGAAATAGCTGGCATTGCATTCTCTGTGGCTCCAGAACCCAATAACTTGTTTCCATCACCCTCCAAGCTGAAATTGCCTGAATTTGAGGACCCTGGAAAGAGGGCTGAGGCTCTAGTTCCTAGGACAATGGAGGGATGGAAAGGAGTTTTAATAGGTGTCTGGTTGGCTGAGTTCCTGTTGAGATGATTATTTAAATGCCTTTGAGATGTGGCTGTAGCATTAATGGTAAGTAAATGCACTCACAGCCCTGAATTGGTATTCCAAGTGAGCTATTTAAATAAGTCCGTAAATTTCAGGTGTTCAGTTTTAAAGAAATAAAATGGCCTTTTCAGTAAAAATATCAAATTGAAACAAAATTTTAGTTCAGAAAGCAGAACTTTCCACAGGAAAATTAAAAAAGGGTTTTTTGGTCCAAAATTTTTGGAGTGAAAAAATTTGGTTTTCCAGCTAATTAGCACAAATGCTGAGCTCGATTGTGCTAATCCTGGGCACTGACTACAGCAGTAGTAGAGGGGCTCAGAACCTTGCAACAGGTGGCAGAGTCACACAAGAGCTTCTTTGGGTAGAAGTGATATCTTTTATTAGACCAACTAAGTATTTGGAAAAAAGTTATTAGCAAGCTTTTGGACGCAGTCACCCTTCATCAGGCACAGGGAGTCTCTGCTGGTCGGAGAGGTGGTTACTATCTATGCCTCCTTCATAATTATCCTTCTTAATTATCTACATTGTGGGAATGGCTTAAAAGCCCCAGTCAAGGACTGGGAACCTGCTCTGTTAGGCACCCTACCTATGTATACCAAATAGATGAGCCTTATCTTAAAGAGGATCCCTGTAATAAGCTGTTATTTGAGGAGCTGTTCCTGTCATTCTTATCAAGCTGAAGATTATCTCTCAGTGAACTGTATGGGTAGAGATTAAAATAACTTCATTTCAGATTTACCCCAGTAGGTCAAAACATCTGCCCTTGCAAAGTGGCTTCTCTTGTAGCTGAGATGTAAAGCTCTCAGTGCACCCACTTCTATATGTTGCAGGTACATGGGCAGATAAGTTAGGTTCTTAATTTTCTAATAAAATGCATGTTTCATTTGCAAATTATAATGTTTTTGCTGAAGAGGGAATAGAACACTAATACTAATCCTGTGAGCAATTTTCAAGCAGGCAGTAATTTTAAATGTTCTAGACCAAACACAATGATGTGTTTGTATGATTCACCAGTGAGTTTGAAACACTTATTCTTATTGTTGAAATGTTAGAATAAGGCAAGGTATTCAGTGTGGGAGTATTTTGTTCCAACACAAGGGATTTGATACAAAAATTATAGTTGAAGCAAATGTAATAAATGAAATAGACTGAAGTATCAGCAGATTTAAACATCCATCATTTTGTTTGCTGAGGAAGGGACTTTCTGAGGTGTATGAAACTGTGCAGGAGAGACTATGGAAAGCTGTGTTTTTATGTGAGGATACAATAATGTTTATGGAGCTGTTTTTTCATGGTCTCTGTGGTTGCAATGTTTGTATTTCAGACAAGTGCTGATCTTCATGATGAATGTACAGAGACTCACACTGGAACCTCTGCATCTGCTCCATTGGCAGCGGGGATTTTTGCTCTAGCCCTTGAAGCAAAGTAAGACTTCCTAAACTTTCCACTTTTTATGCCCTACCCTTATTATCAGACCACCTCTCTCAGGATGTCCAGTTCCTGTCAAGAATCAGGTCTGCTAACTTTACTAACTTTGACAAAGAATTGGTTAATACCAGTCTTCACACCTGCTAGCCAGGCAGAGCCAACACAAGAAAAAGACAGTGAGCTGGTGATTCTGCTTTGTTCTGTGCAGCAGCAACAGTTTGCTTACTAAGGACTGGTCAGCTGGACCTGAAAGTAATGAAACAACACACATACTTGTGAGAACATAATTTGAAGGCAATACGGCTGTACAGGTTTCAGTGAGGTATCACTTTAGTCTGCAGAACCTTTAACACTAGTGATGATGCATGAAATGTAAAGTATCCAGGTATGACTGTCAGAGCAGGTAGTTCAAAAATATGTCCTTGTTAAAGACACAGAGAATTACAATGGCATATTCATAAAAATATTCTCAGAGAAGATATGCACTTTATGAGAGGAAGCACATTAACATGAGACTTTGGAGACCCTGTCCCATCACAGACATTTAGATTTCTGAAGTGTATAGGCGCCCAAAGATGAAGTTAAGTGCCTACTAGAATTTTCAACAGTTCCCAGGTGTCTAAGTCTCAGTGAAATCAATAGGAGGTATGAACATTTTAAACTCCTAATAAGCCTCTGTTTTTGGTGCCTAAATACCTTTGAGGAACTGGACATTAGTCCTTCTGTGCATCAATTCCCATCTGTATAATGGAGATAATGGCACCTCCCTACTTCGGAGAAGTATTAAACAGATTACAGATTGTATGTGTGGTTCTTAAGTATTACAATAAATGGAGCATCACTTAGATTTTACTTTTTTCAACAACTTTTAATGTGTAAGGCAACAGTGCACCATTATGACAAAGTCAATAGACACTTGTATAGAAATTTAACCAATCTTTTCTCAATAGCCCTAATCTAACATGGAGGGATATGCAACATTTGGTAGTCTGGACATCAGAATATGACCCACTGGCTGGTAATCCAGGATGGAAGAAAAATGGAGCAGGGTTGATGGTGAATAGCCGATTTGGATTTGGATTACTTAATGCCAAGGCACTGGTGGATTTAGCTGATCCTAAAGTGTGGAAAAGTGTGCCTGAAAAGAAAGAGGGTATAGTCAAGGACAACAGTTTTGAACCAAGGTAAGACTTTGCAGTGACAATTCATATCTAATATCAGTCTCTATCTCCCAAAGCTAATGCTGTAAGATAATATCTTGCACTAAATTGTTCAAATAGTTGTAAATTGAGACTGATATATTTGCCTTGTCATGCTTCTCAGGAATCTAAGGAGTAACAAACAATGCCCCATCTCTTACTTTATGCAATTCACTGTAAGGCTAATAAAAAAGCACTATCACTCAAAACTTAATCAGGGATGGGGACTATTTGCGTATGCTTGCATGTAACTAGTATGTGGGTACTTGCACATGCAGGATTATTAACACAGGAACACTAAATCCAACCAGTTGAAGCATAAAGATATTATATTGTCTTATGCTGCTATTATGTAAGAGACAAAAAAAGGGATACCAAAAAAGGACCAGTGGACTTTAAAATAAAATCTCTAAATTGTTCCTAAAATAAAGTTTATCTAATGTGTGGCATACATTGAATACCTGGTATTCAATATACATGGTAAAAAGCTGATATCCGTATGTATTTGTATAACTCACATATATAACATCACTTTTGTATAATGCACTTTTACAAATGCATTCAGATAAAACCCTCTAGGCCAGACATGCAAAAATTCTCTATCTGCTGCACATAAACAGACAAACTGCAATGAATTTCTTAATAATTAACATGTTAAATCAATAAGGATCTTTAGACCTCCTTTTTGTCTCCTCTTGTTAGTATATGGCTCTGCTTTCTAGAATAAACATAGTTTTCACAGATCTACAAATTACATAATCTCCAGGGCCTTGGTACAGCTATACAGTGTGTCACCATTTGGTAACCTGCTTATTTGGGCTATTTTTATTAGAGCGCTATTTTTATTCTCCCTCTCTCTGTGCCAATATGCTATGTTTTCCTTTTATGTTTTGAATTTAATACAGAGAACTGAGGTATATAAAACTTATTATTTTGATATGATTTTAATCCTCTTATGTTCCATTATAAACACAATGCTCATAAAGCCCTACATTTTTAATGCATTGCGTGGGGATGGAAGCAATTACTGGAAACTGTGAAGAGAAAGCAGTACACAATGCTCTGTAAATCTAGGGAAGGTATAGGCTCTAAATTAGAATTTGCTACAAATGATTAAAGGAGCTACAGCTGCTGCTGTTTTTTCCATCCATTTTACTACACAGTGGTACATACGCCTGCTGGTGATTTTACTGAGGCACATAACCTATAAATCTGATACACTCATGTGACATGGTTGTTTGCAGAGAATGCTTTTAAGGGGGGTCTCTTGTGGGACAATGCAACCTTGAAAGAAATTATCAATCATCAAGCTTACAATATAGCCATGACAGAAACTATCAATTATCAAGCTTGCTTGCTTCCATGGTTGTAGAAAAAAACAGGCTCCATACATTTAAACTAGCCATGCTTGGGTGATTTCTGAATCCCTTGGGTTCTCAGAACCTGCCTGGGTTTCACTGGGCATTTTGGATAAGCCAGGAATACAGTCTCAGTTTGATCTGTTCATGATACTAGCATAAAACACATCAGAGGGACTGACGTTGGATGGTACTAAGCAATATAATCATATACTTTCCCTAACTTTGATAGGTTATTAAGAGCAAATGGTGAAGTAACCATCGAAATTCCCACAAAAGCTTGTGAAGGGCAAGAGAATTCTGTTGCATCTTTGGAACATGTGCAGTTTGAGGCAACGATTGAATATTCCCGCAGAGGTGATCTGCACGTCACTCTCACTTCCCCATCAGGTATGGAAGGCCAAGAAATGTATTCAGAGAAATTACTTGTTGGTGCTCTTGCAATGTACAAGTTTCACCGTATTAATATTTATGTATACAGTGCTTACTCCCTCCCAAATTAGAAATGGCTGACTATACACTCTAGGGAATATCTCATTCCCTCCTAAGCAGCTCCAGCTTGGAGGATGCATGTGGCAAAGCAAGGGTTTGGATGCCCATGTCCCACTATCTCCATTCATTTCTTCCTGTCTCCCTCCAACCCTACTTCCATAGTGCATCTTATATTCGATATGATTTCGTCTTATTATTCATACTTCCTATGGGAAAGCCTATGCTTCAGTGAGCCAAAAAAAATCTGTGCGGGGGCAGAAGCTGAATTATCTGGATGGTCTGAATAGATACATCATGCATGTACCAAACACACAGATAAAATGATGGATGCATTAAAATTATTTAGAACAACCAAGTAGCCTGAACTCTGCCCTTTAACAAGGCCACAAAGTGGGGGGTCCCACAATCTGGGGCCACAAATACTAAACTTCCCCAACCTTTGTCATGTGATTACTCCATCATGTCTCGAGAAGGCAGAGCTAAAGTTGTCTGAAGGCCTTAGCTGTACATTTCCATACCTTGTCCAGGTGTCTTTTAAGCCTAACTGTAATTCTGAATTTCCAGGGGTAGATTTGGGGATAGATTTGGGCACTCCAAATGATGAGGGAAGATTTTATAAAGGGATAGCCTGCATTCCCTGGCTGATGTGTAGTGGGAGAGAGGTTACAGTATCTTGCTAAGCCTCCAGAGGTTTGAGTTTGAGCCCTGCTTTGGACTTATGCTGAAGACTGTCTCTAGCTGAACCAGCTGTGAATGGGTGCCTGGCCATTTAGGGGAGTCAAAGATAGCTGTCCTCATCACTCCCTTGTGTGTCACTGGCTACAGAACCTATACTGGTTACCTTTGGCCTGGGCACAACTGCACAGATATTGTTCCGCTGCTAGTTCATGGGAAAAATGGGATCATGGCCACAACTGCCTGAAATACACCCTCTTTAGAACAGCAATACTCAGTGGGAAGGGCTGTCTGACCCCATGTGCTACCCAGTACTTGATTAGCTCCTATATGATGGTATAGTATCATTTTGTATTGATATCTAGATGATGCTGTTCTTTTCCTAGGTTCATGCCTTTGCTTGCTGTCCTATAAATTATGCCCACCAAGTACATAAGCCATTCCTTTCCCAATATTTATGTTGTTTACTTATTGGTATTTACAGCTTATGATTGCACACTCCCTTCCCCCACAGCTTTGCTTCTCTAGACTATGTAAATATAGTTCCCCTGGTATCTCCTCATATTCAAATGAGCACAAACAAGCCTCCTACTTTGCATCAGAATCCCTTCTGCTGCAGAAACGCTTTTTTAGACTGCAGTAGTCTTTTTTCAGGCCAGTCATACAATAATGAGAATGTCTTTCTCCCATATGAGGCTGTAAGAAAACACACTCACTAAGATTACAGTAACAAATTCTGCCCACAGTTACAGCCAGGCAAACCCCAGAGCAGAACTGTGAGTAGAATTTGAACCATGGAGATTAAAGTGGTGAAGCTTTCCTCAGTTCAATTTGCTAGTACTGAACAACATGAAAAGAGGGCATGACGGGCTCTTCCTAATTATTTATTGCTGCATGTCACTCTCTGCTGTCACGCGTGTTCCTTGCTGGTTTGACACTAATACTCCATGACAACTGGATTTATGGCAATCCTGGTTTACACATTCTTCTTGGAAAGGGATTTGAATAGCTATTAGCTAGAAGCAACATATTGCTATCCCTTAAACAAACCAAAAGTCAGTATAAAATAGTACCTTCTCCAGGTTATAGTGGAGTGCAATCGGTACTTTGATTGTGTGAAAGATGGGGGGAAAAAAAGCCCTGGATCAATAAACATTAATGTTTGCTTGTTTGTTTGCACAAATACAGGCACCAGCACTGTTCTACTGGCTGAAAGGGAGAGAGATAAGTCTCCCAATGGCTTTAAAAATTGGGACTTCATGTCTGTTCACACATGGGGAGAGAACCCAGCAGGTACTTGGGTTTTAAGAATTACTGATGTGGTAAGTAACCATGCCAATGATCCATAAATATAGACCAGTGGATTGTAAACTGCTATCAGACATGTAGAAAATATTTTATTTTGTGAAAAACTAGCGGTGTCATTTATTGTTAACGTAAAACTTGAATAAGAGACAGTCCAAATGATGCAAACTCAAAAGATAAGACCAAATTCTGTTGTCACTTAAATCAGTGCAAAACCAGGATAACTTCCTAGAAGTGTAACTATCAGCAGAATGTAGCTGTTATATAGTCTCTTTCATGGTACATAATCCTCTTCCCACTGAAGAGAAACCTATTAATGCGATCTTATATGGTTTTGGAATTGAATATGTAATGGAATTTATAGATGATTAGTTGCAAATTAGGTTTTTTCTGTGAAGGCAAGCATGAGGTAAGTTCTGTTCTCTTTTTTTGGTACATGTGCATAATGTTCATTGATTCAAAAGCTTTTGAATTAATTAATTTCCGGAGAGTTTAGAGACCTATTCTGATATATATCTTCCCCTATATTCTTTCTCAAAATAATTACCACTGAATGACCAGCAAGGATTATAATGAAAAAATCTAGAGATATAAAATAAGTATGTTTACTAAAACCAGATGGGAATATGGATTATAACAGTGAGAGCTTTCAGAAGAAGCTGCTTGGTAGGAAACTGAGAAATCACTGCCTTCAAAGGGAGAGGGATCAATCCATGCTGGCTCACTCTGGAGAATTTCACTCAACTTGTTTTTAATTAGCTTGTCACTAAGGATCAGATCCTGTCAGGGGGTGAATGTTAACTTTGTGATACCGAGTGTCAAACCTCTGCTGGCCTCTGCAGAAATCAGTAGGCATCAGAAGTGCTCAGTAACTTTCAGGATCTGGCTTTTAGATCACAGGGCTGGAAATGAAGCATTGATTTTTCTCTTCTCTGGGAATATCTTTAATTAGTAGATCAGGATGCAGAGAAATAAATGGCATGGTTTGGAAGCAGAGGGCATTATAAACAGTAAGGTAAGGCCAAGCACCCAGCATGTGGACAAGGTGACAGAAATAAACATTATTTTCCACATGGTGCCTAGGAGCAGAGTTAACACTACTTGTAGAATTGTAAGCTCATCAGATAACCTGGCAGCTACAGACACCCTAGTTTGCAGCTCATAGAAGGCACCACACTTTTTTTGGGAATGCAAAGGTTTTCCTTTAATTAGATGGCTAGTCTGTTTTCTGTGCAAATAAGAGGTACCTGAAATCTAAAATAAACCTAGCTTTCCCTTTCCTGAATCCCCACCCCCCACACTGTTCCTGGCATTTTGTTACTTCACACTAATGAACCCTTACTTTAATCATACCTACCTAACAAGAGCCTCGCTTAGACTTACTGCTAATTTAGTTGTCTTTCAATCTGTATGTGTAATCTTTATCTGCAAAGTAGGCTTTTTATTATAAGACAGGACTCTTCAGCAACCACCTCAGTGGAGGCAGACAGCAGAGCAAGTGCTCTGATAATGAAGTCTGTTAAAAATAAATATCAGACAACTCCCTACCTGTCTCTTCCCTTTATTAAATTTTAGCAATACTATTCTAAAACTCCACAGCTCACAGTAGAGAGTAGTGATTTAAGTTGTACTGTACAACACTAGCATAACACTGGGTGACCAGGACAGCTGCCACACCACTGCTGCCACAGGCACACAATCATGCCAGCTGCACAGCAACAGCCAAAAGTCACTGCTGCCCCCATGTTTCACAGCTGCCCCAGGTGCCCAGCTGCATTGTTACACCTCTGCTGTACAGCGTGAGAGGACGTTATTAAAAAAGGCTGTTAAAACAATTGTGCAGAACTTCTTGCACAGAACTTGGTGTACAGCACCTCAGCAGACAGTAACAACAAGAAATATCATGTGGTTTAATAATGTTTGACATCCCATAAAATAATGGTATTTCACCTATGGTAACACAATTAATTATCAATGATACTGTGTTACAATAGCCATGTACTTGTAGCATATCTGGTCTGGTTTAGAGTCTTTGTAATAAATCTCCCCTTCTGTTATGCATTTTACCCAATAATGTATCTTTCATTGCTCATACATCAGCATCTAAATTTACATTTGTTAAAAGCACTAACCTCTTTAACTGGCTTGGGACTTTGTTAACATCAGCTATCTTTTCTTTCATCTTCCTTCATCCAGTACTAATATGATGCTAACGTCTGTCTTTTAGTCCAGGAGAATCCAAAATGAAGGGAGGATTGTGAACTGGAAACTGATTTTGCATGGCACTTCTGTCCAACCTGAACATATGAAACAGCCTCGTGTATACACAAACTACAATGCTGTGCAAAATGACAGAAGGGGAGTGGAGAAGATGACAGACTTTGTAGAGGTATCAGTTACTTTATGTTTTTTTCCATATATGTGCATATTGTTATAACAGCATAAAAGTAATATATACCATTTGGGGTTTTCTGAATTCATTTACCTGCATGTACTCATTTCACCACATCTTTACTCATTTGTTAGCTGTGTGCATACTGTGATGTGATCCATGCCCATAAGTAAATGCTTTCAGTTACTCACCCATTTGACAAGGCATGATCTGAGGGACTTAAAGATGATTTTATAACATCAGTTCTAAAAAAGTTGAATGGTTGTAGAGGGAACTTCTCCAAACAATTTGAGTTTAGAAATCTGATCACTTCTAGTGTTTTCTGTGGGAGTAGCTGTCAGGGCCCAGAATTGTTGACCCAGGTCCAATAGATGCAAGGACTGTTGGAGTGAAGCATACTACCAAATGATTCGGCATGGGTTTAGAGGCTCTCCAGGCCTGGACATTATCCTGGTAACCAGAGCTCTTGCTCCAACTGCATTTTATTCTATTTCTTCACTTTCAAGAGGAATTGATAACGATTTATGGAAAACAAATAAAAAATGTTAGGCATCTCTGCTTTAAAGCAAAACCACGCACAACTCCCATTAGTAGGTAGGTATGTTCATAAGGGTACATCAGTAACAGAAGTGCAGGTGACTCTGGGATGAAATGCAGCAGCTATGTAAGAACACAGAAGTGACAGTGAAGTAAACCTGTATTTAATAGATACTGCAGGGGGGGAAACGATGGGCAAAATGTAGCTTCCAACGTGAAATGTGGTATTCACTTTCCTATTCTTCCTGGAAGATGTACGATAAGCGCTCATAATCCAGCCGTCACTTCCATGTCTCATCTGAAAGACAGCACGTCCAGCAGAATTGTATTCATTATACTGTGGAATTTATTTGTTCCTGCATAAGAGAGGAAAATGCCTGTTGAGTCACCCTCACCCTCTCATAACCAGTCTTTATAAAAGTCTCTCATCTAAGTTCTCATCAGTCCAATTGGGCTTAACTCTCTTGCAATCTGCTGGTTTCACACAATTATAATATACTGTGATTGAGACCTGTACAGTTAAGTTATCAGCTAATATAATATAATATAATATAGTCATAATCTGTTACTTGTATAAAATACATTAAATAAGACATTTTTAGTTGGGTTTTTTTCCTGGAGCCACATACATTCCTATTGTTAACAAGGCCAATTTCAGAGAAAGCTTCACTGATCCCTAATGCTTTTGATCCTATTCTGTATTTTAGGACCACACCACGCAGGAGAACCTAAAGGAAAAATCCAAAGTCACAGGAGGTACCAGCGGTAGCACTGATAAAATGGGAGACAAAATCCCATCGGAGGCGATGCTTCACCTATTGCAAAGTGCTTTCAGCAGGCAGATGTCCCAGAATCGAGCACCAAAGAAGACTCCAAGTGAAAAGTTAAATATTCCATATGAACATTTCTATCAAGCCCTTGAAAAATTAAACAAGCCCTCCCAGTTAAGAGACTCAGAGGAAAGTCTATACAGTGACTACGTTGACCTTTTTTACAACACCAAATCATACAAGCATAGAGATGATAGACTGCTGCAGGCCTTGGTTGATATTTTGAATGAAGAAAACTAAAATGTATGATACAGCACTGGAGTTGGAAATATTCATGCCCCTCCTCCCCCACCTACTCTTCCCTTGCCAGCCCTGTATTTTACACTCTAGTTGTACAATTACTATTTTGAACACTTCATCCTTAACAAGGATGTCAAGAAGGGAAAAGCAGCAGAAAGTGTGAGGTACTAAGCTTATGGGTGTTTGTGATCGCTGTATTCAAGGTCTTTCTTCATTACTATCAAAGTAGATGGTTTCTTTCCTGTGGCATGAAATACAACTGTAGGCCTCGGAAAATGCAGCCCTCAAATTCAAACCCTTTTTCTTTTACTTATTTTTCCACACTTTATTCTCTGAGCAAGCATTGAGCTTGAAAATCAGGGTTGTCAAGCCGTTCTCAACTGAACTGCCAAAGCTATGGGGAGATACTGCCTTCTCCAGGCCTGTAATAAATATATCAATCCTTATCACACATGGCATCCACTTAAGATTTAACACTAGCTACAAATACTATCACAAATACAGATTCCCTGGCCATTTTCCAGATGACAACCAACCCTAAGATCTCTGTTCTATAGGAAAGAAATCTAGAATGGCTGGAAAACTTGCAGTGCGTTTGAGCTTTGCAGACAGCTATAAATCAGAAGACTCCATTATCCACAGTTGAAAAAAAAAGGAGTTGACTTTATTCTGATCTCATATCAGTAGAGTTTAAACTAAAATGAAAGTTAAAATGATATATAAAAACGCAGACAGAATCAAGTCAATGATCCCCATCACCAGTGGTATTGTAGAAAGTACAGCAGCAAAGTCTGTAATCAGCTTGTTTTCTCAGTGATGTTTTAGGAATCTTTGGTGGATTTTAGTCCTACCAGGGGCTGAGGGCTTGAGGCCAGGCACTGGGGACAAGTCTAGAGCAATTTCACCAGCAAACTTTTGGCTCTGGACCTCATCAATGGAGTTGGGTCCTGTTCTCCCGGAGACCTGCAGCAGATGCGGTATAGGCAAGCTCAAAGTAGGCATAGGGAAGATATTTCCATAAGAGAATTCTGTAAAATGGGATGACAGTGTCAGAGGCTGATTGCAACAATTCTTAAATCCTTTGGTGGGTTGAGAGGAAAATGGACAGAGAGTAAAAAAAGATGGAAGAAGTTATCATGGGCAAAGGAACTGAAAAAAGGAGGAAAAGAATAGGTGAATGGGGAAAAGGTTGAAACAAAATTGGGGAGAAGGAAGGCAGCCATCAAAGACAGGGAAGATGAAAAAAAAGGACAAAATATAGAAGAGAAAATAGGGAAGGAAGAGAAATATGGAGAGAATCCCCTTGAATGACAGCAGGTAAACTGCTAGTCTGACTTGGATGGTGGGGGGTTTGCTGGATGAAGGGAGCTGGAACAGAATGGTCTGAAAGGGCAGCACACATCTCAGCAACTATACTTCAGACACACATTTGTAATGGGAATGTGAGTTGGCATATATTTTGTTACTCATAAATTTGAAAAGAGAGTATGTAGTTCTGTAAGCAGGTAAAATTGGAGAAACCTAGGGCAGGGGAATACAGGGATTTCAAGTGGTAGAATAAAGGCAGTGATTAATTACAATGCCAAAGCTGTCTAAAAAATGCTGACTAGAATTTACCTCCTTTTCTCAAATGTCTCTAAATGTCTTTTCCAAATAGATTTTAGAAATACATATCACTGTTCCAGTATCTCCATTTCACGAGTGGTACTGGTGTCTCCCAAACTGGGAACTTTGCTCGGCATGGATGCAGATTTTCAAAACCACTGTTAAATCCTCATATTTAAAATAAAAACCTAGGTACTCTAACAATAGTTAATCCCACTAATAAAGTAACCAATTTAAAAAAAAACAACAGGACCTCTTTTATAAGAATTTAAAAAAAACCTCAGATTTCTCATTCATTCAGATGCTATCATGTAGTTCTTGGATTTAATTCTGCACTATGCCACTTTTAATTGGATTTAACTCAGTTGGCTTAAGAATTCCTACTGTACATCTTCAGACTCTCAAGGCAGTGACTTCTTGTTTGAAGTGTATGTTATTACTAAATTTCCTCTTCCTTCTCTCTCTTTCTCTCTTTTCCTCCTCACTCTCTTTCTGTTATATTAGAAGTTTTTCTTGGAGGTAGGAAGTGGTCAAAACATGGAAGTGGTTGAAACCAGAAAGCTTTCTTGTGTTTCTTATGATGTCCCTTAACACTAAGACTTAGAAAGGCAGTTTAGAGAGGTGCTGAACAGGAAAACATGACTCATTTCATAGCTAGGAGTGGACAGCAGGGTACACTAGCTAATTTCTACTCCTGCTTTAGTTTTGAGTACTGGGAGCTAATTGTTGTGTCATGAGCCTTAACAGCAACTGTCTTCAGGGAGCAGCAGTAAGAGCAAACCCCCATTGCTGTATGATTACTTCACGCTTTAGTAACAGCAGATTCAATAATGGTCCATAAACAGTACTCATGTTAAATACATTATATGTATATAAGTTATATACATGACTTTTCCTTTGTTTTAAGCCCAATTCCAATGTTATAGCCAAAGTTTCATCAGAGAACAGCTTTAAAATTAATCTGATGAAAGTCTGTCTCTTGAATGTTTCCAACCCAGAGTATATTGTACAGACTTAAATTATTTTTATTGTTAGTCTTTTCTTGGTGCCTGTGTGGGTTTTGTGAAAACTGTAAAAGGGAAAAAAAGATGTTTTCTCTCAGAATTTTAAATTATATTTTCTTTACAGGTATTTATAATATATCAAAGATTTTATCAAACGGACAGAATTTTAAAAGGCATAATAAATTATATTAAAGAACCAAATTTTTCTTGAGAAAGAGAAAATTTCATCCAATAAAGGTATTTTTAAAAGGCATGTTCCAACAGTAACTACAACATGTATGTGATGTGCTGTTAAAATTACATTTGTCTAATAATAGCATAATACAGTATGTTAGCAGAGCGCAGAGTGTGTGGTCTTAACATTTGTAAAGAAAACAAAAGATAAAGTCAAACCATGGATTCAGTTATCTGGGAAATATAACATTTCATTAGACTTAAGAACAATGAATGGTCTCATCACTGAGAAAATTTGATGGTGGGAGCAGAAAATATGTACTTTATTATGATCAGAAAATTATAGAATATGTATTTGCAATGCAGAAAAAGAAATACGGGGTGGGTCTTTAATGACTGGAGCCACATGATGCTTCTCTATTGGTTTCAATGAGAGAAAAATTGGTTCCTGAAGATCTGAAACGAAATTCCTTCTTCCTGTCTCATATAAAAGCATGTCTGCAGTCCCCTTACAGTCGCACAGAACTTATAATGAAGAGGTACACAAGAATAAGATAAGGGGAATTTTACTGAAAACACAGATCTTGATTTTCCACTGTCTTGCAGCTGCATAAAAGCCTTCAACCTCTGTTTTGCAAGGTATTAAAATAAATACACAGAGTGCAAGGCAGTGAAGTAAACAGGCCCTTATATTCTCACAGTAAATGGCTTGTGGAGTGCTTCCTTTGAAGAGGACAACTGTGTGCTAGGGTAAATCTGATAGAAGTGGCTCCTGCTTCAAACACTGGCTCATATCCTTGGGCAGGGACGCATCAGGGAAAGGAAATAACATGTTGGGGTACACCAGAGGAAGGAACATAATATAATGCAGAGGCATTAAAACAGTCTCTCACTGCTGTGTTGTTCTTTAGGACCTGGTTACCAGTTGTGTAAGTTAGAGCTGCTTTTGACTTAAGCAGGTACTAGTACAGAATCAGGAAGACATAACTGGGAGCATATACAGGAGTTGCCTAATTAGGTCTGCAGTAAAGTCTCAGCATCTACATGTGTGGCCCTAGGAAACTAATAAATGCCACTGTATGTTAGTACTTGTCAACACAAGTGCTATCCTATGGCGGCGTTATTTAGTGTGCTGCAACACACATGTAGACACTAACAGGGCTAGCTGGGGCATAAGGGTGCTTCAGTGCTAGCCCCACACTGGAGCACCCTTATGTCCCTCCACACCATGTTGAGCTGGGTAAGAGCAGCCCCGGGCTGTCAGGCTGACCACCTGAGCTCCCTGCCAGCCAGGTCTGCTCTTCCTCAGCTCGGTGTGCTGCAGTCCTGGGCACACGTGTAAACACAGAGTCTGGGAGCAATAAACTCTGGCATGAACTGCACCAGAGTTTATTCAGTCACATTAATAGCACACATGTAGATACATCCACCATTTCCCAAACAGTCCCATCTACCCTTGAACTAAGTAGGTCTGAGCCTTGAATGAAAAAGCTTGAACTTTCAAAATCTAAACTTTCTAACTCAAAAACCTAGAAACACTTTTTTTAAAAAATCAACTCTGTTTTGCTTTTTAAAGTTTCAGTTACCTACCTTACCAACCAGGTTTGAAGAGAACTGGCTCAATGGTGGTAAAGTTATTAACCTGTTAAGATGACAATATGTTCATAGATAAAGTACTTTTTAACAAATATGTGCTGCTTTTAACAAATATGTGTTTCCAACAATAGATAACTAATGTGCACTAACACCATTACTTATCTATAATTTTCTCTAAAATTGGCTTGATTATTAAATGTCAATGAAATCTATAAAATACACCAAGCTAGACCAGTTTTGGCCTTTTGCATTATCCAAGTGCAAAGTATTTTTAATGAGGCACATATTCTAACCTAAAACTAACAGAACCACTCTTCTCAAACTTTGTAACCCTTCAGAAAATTCTTTTGAACTGAAAAAAAGCCTGGATATTTCCAACCCAAGAAGAATTTTTTGTTTTTAATGGAAAACCTAAAAATTATATATAGACTAGAAGATAGGACTATATTAGGCACTTCAGAATTTCTAAAATTAGGAGTGAAGAAGCTTTGTATGGGTAGAGTGTGTGATCATGGAAAGTAGAAATTATTAAAATTCACCCTGACTATGGATCCTGGTGCTACAGGCGATCAATTCCATATGAATAGGAACAGAAGCAGTAACTCAGGGAATTATGCTGAAAAGTTCCACTTTCTCAGAGAGGTAAGAATTTCTTAGGCTAGGGACAGACATTCAAAAAGCCTGAGCCTGAATTGATTCAATCTTTGCAGGTTAGTCGAACCTGGCTAGACTAAATCAGTTTTGTAACCAGACAGATATCCTAGAAATGCAGGCACATGCCTGCAGTGGCTCAGGCTAGAAGCTGGGGGGGCGCTAAAGTAGCCCTCAATTCCTTCCACAGCATGGAGCTGAGTGGGGCGTGGCCACACTCTGGCAGGAGCTCTGATTAGCCCAGCAGGAAATTGATAACAGTGCTTATCACCTAATTAAGAAAACAACACAGGGACATTACCAGCTACCTGTTGATTCTATCTGTTGATTCAGCAGGGACCATAGCCAGCATGTGGTCTGGTAGGTAATATACAGACACCTCCTCAGCAAGGCAGAGGGGAGGGGAGAATTCCTGCTTAGTAGGGAGTGGTAAGGGGAATGGGGAAGCAGCCCACAGTTTCTGGAGCTCTAGCCAGGGAGCAGAAGGGAGGGGCCAGGCCTG